TTCGCAGACCCAGGGACTGGGCAGGCCTTAGGAGCCTTCCTTGCAGGGAGTAGAGAAGGGGCCTGGCTCATCCACCCCCAGAGGCTGGGAAGAGGCACTTCTGCTGCCTTCTGAGGAGCCCCACGCTCTGCTCAGCTAAGGACATTCCCAGGAAGGGAGGCTGGAGAGACGTTTCCGCTCCACTGAAGGACTGAACAAAGGGGGCAAATGGCACTTTGGGAGAACATTCCAGAAATTTACTGGCTATAGACAGGGGTGGTGGCGGAGGAACCATCCTAAACAGAGTAAATGCAGAAGTTACTGTACAGAAAGGAACATGCAGAACACATACACCAACGGTCTCCCACCCCTCTCCCCACAAACACCACACAGCGACATGAGAAAAGCAGACGAAAAAAGGAAAATAATCGGTCAACTGAAAAATGCAAAGGATTCTATTCTCCCCCTCCGTGTTTCTGATGCAAGTCATGTAAGAAAAGGCCGTACTTTGCCTCTTTCTTCTCTTTATGAAATACACGGCACTTGAAATTCCTGATGGAAAAACACCCAGTAGATGACAGCAGCTGAGGTCAACTGGGGCCCACATGACCCCACTTGGTCTGCTGCCTGGTTCTTCAAAACGGAATTCCAGTTCTGCCCTCAAGGGACTTTGTACCTGTCACTTCTGCTGCCCAGAGAAGTGCAAGCTATGTACCAGATCAGGGTAATCTAACCTAGCTGGAGGGCCTAGGGTCAGCAGATAGGGTAGCCAGATAGATGGGAACATATTTATACTAGGGACTTCTTCATTGTTGATCTAAAATGCAAAGTTAGAGTGTCCTGCATTTTTATTTGCTAAATCTGGCCTGGATGAAGGGGCCTTACCTGCAGGCCATGCAGCCCTACAGGCCCCTGCAAGCCTGTCTAGGCCAAGTCTGCTGGGCCACACAAGGGACTGCAGCATATCTGTGTTGATGCAAGAAGCCCCCTCTGGGATCACTGACTCCCCACTTCCTGCTCAAATAGAAGCCAGTGCCTGAGACAGACTTTTTCCCCCTTCCCATCCCCAAGAAACAGGTCAAGGGCAAAGGCAGCAAGTGGAGAGTATCCCAGTGCAATACCAGGATTCCGCCAACACCTCCCCCTCAACTTTTTTCAAAGATCCGGCCTTTATTATGAACAGTAAATCAAATGTCCACCCCTCTCTTCCCAATGTTTTCCTGTTGCCTGAGCAGCTCCGCAAGTCTGTCTCTGAAAGAACAGCCCTGACTCTTATCTGACCCCATTCCACCCTCTTCCAGACTGAATGTCTATTGGGGCCCCCAAGCTGAAACAGAGTCTGAGTACAAGCATGTGGCACTGGCCCAGAGGATGTGGGGAGGGGACTGGCACAGGAGACCAAAGCAAAGCATCTGCTCATGCAAATATCTGCTGAGTTAGATGCAGCAAAGGGCACATAGAAGTATATTTGAAAAGCCAACGTTATGACAGGAAAGTTTCCTCCCTCCCTGGGTTAGCAACTTAGAATCACGAGTATTTCACTTAGGTGATACTGGCAAAAAGACATTAAATAACAACAAAAAAAGAGAGCCCAATATCTCAGAATTATGAACAACTTTACGATGGGGACAGTGCTGGATTTACCTTAGATATTCCAGCTACTTAGCACATGGAAGCTACCTGCTGAAACTGAACTCTGGTTGATAGGTAAACATGTGACCTATTTAGTCACTCACCAGTTATGTGTATAAATAACAAGGCAAGAAGCACAGATCATTTGCAATCTCCTTTCAGAACCTTGGTTAGTAGTTTTAGGCTTTTTTCCACTGGCCTTTTCAGTCAGAAACTAGTGGCAGAAAGATTTCTCTTTAGTCTCTGCCTTGTGAGGGAGACAAATATACTATGGAATTGTCAGAAGATGGTCTGGAGGTGTGGTGACTTCTTCAGCATAGAATTAAGAGTGGGGTGACATTCAGGACCCTGAAAATAGTCTCACTTTCCTCTAGTTATAGACAACTCCTGTTCAATGAATTGCTGACTCTTTCTGATATTCCTGAAATGCAGGAGCAGAAGCCCAATTTTTACCGATATAAGACATATTTCCATCAGGAATTTGAGAAGTAACACCTTCTCACCAATTTGCTGGATGCAGGGCTCAACACATTTTCATGGCTGACCGAGGCTGAGTGAGAGTCCACAGTCAGTGTGGGGCCTGCCAGCACTTTGGCAGACCTGGGGCAACCTGCCAGCCCAGGGTTTTATTCGCTAACTCAGCATTCAGCATGCTTGAGTCACTTCCTGAGTGGCATGATGGAAATTCGGCAGTGGTGTGAACTACCTAATGAGCTAGACAAAGGTTCTGATGCCTAATGAAGAAACAAGGATTATAGAGACCCAGTCTAAAGCAGTAGGATGTTGGCACAGCCGCACATAATTGCAACATTTATGTATTAAGGGTTTTAGCCAGAGCAGGCAAGGGTAAAAATCCTAAGAGACTTCAGTTTTGTTTTGTTTTTTTAAATCAGAAAATGCTGGACACTGTGGAAAGGTCTGTCGTTCTTTGCTTAAGTAGCCTGCCCTAGGATTTAATTAAATGATGCATCAAAAGAATAATAGTAGTTGCCAAATCGTCCTCAGGAGTCTCTAATTAGATTGGAATTTCTTGCAGGGCAGGAGGTTGGGTCTACATTTTGGCTCCAGTGTGAATGGGGACTTCCTGCTCTTTGATGAGCCTACCCTGCTCATCAAAACCAAAGTGAGAAAACCAAAGGATTTGCTGTAAGAGAGCTCACCAGTTTCACTTCAGTTTTCCCTTCAAAGCCGGGTAGTCAGAGTTGATTAAAAACATATATATATCAAAGAAACAGAATCCATGAAATTAAATCTCTAGCCCTCTGAAAAAGATCCAGATCAGTGCTCTGAATGTTTCAGAGTTTATTATGAGCCATTCTGAGACAGGCTCTAACCCTGTCAGTATCCAAGTGCCCTTGATTTATTAGATAGATCGAAATCTCATCCCTGAAAGACAAGAGACTCCTAGTACAATTTTCTGTTTCTCTGGGTCAACAGTGAAATCATGGCCCAACATCTACAGAAAGGATTTAGTTTTCTGAACAGGTGAGCTTCTCACCAATTTGCCGGATGCAGGGCAAACTTTTTAAGCTAATAACTTATCATAGGGTCTTGACTTCTGTGCACAAGTTGTAAACATGGATGCATGGGAACTTGCTGTTGTGGCCCTGCAAACTCAGTCTGTTTCTCATCTCTACACAGTGCTCAACCACAGAACCAGCTTGTAGAACAAGAACTGGAATTAAAGGAAGGCCTGTCCCTTCTGGTATGAAGCTAGCTATCTTATTTCTCTTACAAATATCTCCCTCTTAGCAAGTCCTCAACTGCCAACCAGTGGCCACTTTATGTCCAGCTCACAGTTCCCTCATCAGGGCAGGTCAAGGGCTGGTTGCCTTTCTCTCCCTTCTGATGTTGAGACTCATCTCACAGTCAAAGATGCCTTATTTGTCCCGTGAGGGCTGGTGTGCAATTCTATCTGGAGCCAGTAGAAAGCTGCATGATGCAAGGAAAGGTAAATCTGCAATTCTCATGGGTGATGAGCAAGAGGTAAGCTGGGGGCAAATACTTGAGACTCCTCATTTATAGCAACGTCGTATTTCTAGCTATAAGTAAAATCTAATATTAAAAACCAAAACACTAAGTCACACTTCACCAAATGTCTACAGAGTACTTTTTTTTTAAACACTGCTAAAACAAATCATTTGATTCATTTAAATCAGCACATATAAGCAGGGCACAACTTGCTAAATCAAGTCTCCTGCAGGGCTCATGGTCCGAGACTTTCTAGTAAAGCTCAATGGAAGACAGCACTCCAGGGTGACAAGATGGGACTAGAGGAGGAAGGTAGCACACAGCGTTGCTGACCCTCAGGCTATAGCCTTGATGGAAAATGGAGCTCCACATATGAGTGATATCTACAGAGCAGCACTTTCTCAAAAGGAAAGGGAGCAATTATTTTAACAAGGGTGACCATATCCTATGGTGAGAGTGAGCCTTTTTCCTAGGAGCAAAAGAACCTTTGGGGATCCTCTGGGGATCTGATCTCTTCCTTGGAAAGTGTGCCTGAGGAGCTGTCCTTCAAACTAACAGAGCGGGCTGCAGCTCAGTGCCTCATGGCTCTAGGTGGCCCATTCAAGAACCAATGCTCGCCCTAATTTCCTCTCTCTTTAGTGCAGGGCTCTGGGACTGGCGGAGAGAGAAACAGAGTCAATGATGGGTGACAACTATGCTCAGGGACCAAACCCCACAGTGCTTACATCATGTGGTATCTGGATTCTGTACCCTGCACACTCAGAATGCGACCTATAAGCTTGCTTGGCCAATCGCCTTCATGAGTGGGATCGGGGAGGTCCTCCAGACAGAGGAACTGACCACCAGAGGACAGAGGGGCTCAAGAGGGGTGAGCACAAGCCTGAGCTGTCACTCTCGGTGGAGCAGCTGGAGAAGGGTGAAGCAGTGAAGCTTCCCCTTCCTCAAGCTTGAGCTGGGGTCCTGCAACCTTTCTTAGGGCTTTTGCTATGCCTATGCTTTTATTGTCCGTAGGATTCCAAGAGAACAGCAATCAAATTAATCTTGCAATCAAAGCAGATGATTTGGGGGATGGTCTCAGACCACCTGGACTCCAAGTCATACCAAAAAGGAGGGAGGACATGACATTCCCTAAGGCTGAGGAGCCTTCCATAAACAAGTAAAATGTAATGTACCGTGACTCTGCTCTATGGAATACTATATCTAAATAAAAGTAGCTCCCAAAGGCTTTGCTTCCTGGCTCATTTTGGGTTTTTAATAATTTAAAGTCAATTGAACCAAATAATAGATGCCTACATATAGCCTCTTATTCTCTAGCCCAAGAACTAGTGACAGTATTTCTCCCCAATACATAAATAAAAATGTAAACAAAAATTTCAAAGAAAAAAAATCAATGAAAATAAAAGAATGTTGAAAAGAAATACAAATCAAAGAAATTTATTGGTGTTGACAAAAATACATAATACAAAAAACAAAACAAAACACAACAGAAACAAAACCAGGACCCACTCTAGTGGGCCCGTGTGCCTGATATGCTGACAACGTGCAGCCCCAGAAGCCCCAAGCATGGCACTTAATTCATGAGGACCTCCATCTGCACCAGCCTTGCGTTGGTGTCTCCAGATGTTCGGTAGGGTATCATTCCAGCAAAGGTAATCAGGGCTCGGGCTTGGCTTCGGAGTTGCTAGAAGAAAATGGGAGAAAGAGAAGAAAACTGGTTAACCTATAAGTCAGGGCACTGTTCTGTGCTCTTCCTTCCTCTACCCTGTGGTGTCAGGGACAGATCCCTGGTGGGAGGATGACAGTCATACCCTCCTCTGTCATATTCCTCTAGCAGGATGCAGAGTTAGCAAAGCTTGTCCCTGGGGGCCCCGATCCACCAGGAAATGCCCACCATGTCAACACTTGTCTACACAAACATCACTGCACTAGGTTTCTTTCATCATAAAAAGAGTTTCCTGCCAAGGAGCAAAGGGTGGAGCAGCAGATGTGTCTGGTGTGCGCAGATGGGCTGAACACTTCAGTGGACCACTCCGAGCATTCTTATTCACATTCCTAAGGTGAAAATTTCTGTATCCAAGCCCATCTATTAAGCAAAAGGCAGATGGGTTTGCCAGGCAAACCGCTTCACCCCAACACACATGACTAGCTCCTGATGCAGCCCTGAGCTTCAGAACTGTCTGCTTCATTTTTCTAAGGCTCTCTTTTCTAGCTGGTTTCTGTCCATCTGCTTTCATGGGGATCTGAGTTTTCAGTGCTACCATGAAGCTCCTGCAACACCAGAGGCAAGGGCTGTGACTGTATATGACTCCAATCAGATCTCTTCCTCTCCTGCTTCTTCCTTCTTCCTTCCTTTCCTTCCTTCTGTTTCTTCCTTCCTGACATACATGCTTGCCTATCTTTACCCAAGCAACACTATTTATGAAATTCCTGAATTGTTCCAGGAGGGGAAAAGATGGCCCTACAAATTTAAATGAAATCTGGACTAGAAAGGAAGAGTCTACAAACACTTTTCTGGCCCAGTAGCAAGGCTTTCAAGGAAAACACAAGGGTTATTTACTAGGCTTACTTAAGGATCATTCCAGAAGAAAATGGAAAGGCAAATGCTTTTGACCTGATATATAAAATAAATTGTCAAGTGAATGTCTTTATTAATGTCCGAGCGAAAATAAATCTTACTTTGTGATAAGAATACCTATTGTATTTTCTCTAAAAGTGAATACAAGAGTATGGCCTTTTGCCTGAATTGGTTGCCTTACATGAGCCCTTGGGATGTTCTGGAGAAGGACCCGCCACCTTACTAGGCAGCACTTCACTTAAACCATGAAACCACTTATTGAGCAGGCAGCTTTTTCAATGTTTCTCTTCAATCCTACTTGTTCCTACCTTACAGAAAATGAAAAAGGAGAGTAACAGGCAGGGGGAAGACAAGACAATGACTTTATTGATGATGTGTAAAAACTAAGTGCCTGAGAGATACTGAAACACACACAGAAGGTGCCATTCAGACGACTCCTTTAGATATAGGACATGGCCTCCTCCTCTCTTGGGCAAGTCTTCCCGACCTGTAAGTGGCATACAGAGCACCAGGAAATGCCCACCATGTCAATACTTGTCTTCACAAACATCACCGCACCAGGTTTTTGTCATCATAAAAAGAGATTCCTGCCTAGGAGCAAAGGGCGGAGCAGCAGATACGTCTGGTGTGCACAGATGGGTTGAATACTCGAGTGGACCACTCCCAAGCATTCTTATCTACATTCCTAAGGTGAAAATTTCTGCCATCATTCACTAAGTAGAAAAGTCTGTCAATGGCAGTGCTTGCGGGGTCATATCATATTAGAGAGAACCCACAGACAACCTTGGAGACAAAAGATAGGATTTTCAAGGCATCCTGACTGCCAAAATTAGGTATGGATGTACACACTATCCTGAGAATCTCATCAATAATTAAATGGAAAAGTTAAGGGAAAGGTAATTCTAAGAAATGCCGATGGACTGTCCCACTTCATGGTTTAATTGGGTCAAACACTTCTGCTCTTTTTTGCCAAGCAGACAACATATGTTGTGTGAGTTTCAGGATCTAGCTACCTGAATTCTGCTTGATCTACGTACTGCTGGAGGTCCCACAGGAGCAGAAAGGCACAGGCTCAGGTGTCATACAGAACCCACCTCCAGACATGGCCCCTTTACCTCCCAACCACCTGAGGGGCCCACGAAAGCAAGCAAGTTGCTTTCCAACTCCAGGCCTCTGTTTCCTCAGGTGTGAAAGGGGGATAAAATGCTGCCCTATTCATCCCCTTAGGGACACTATAAGGCTCAGAGAGCAGAAATTAATGTGTTGATCAAAAATATAGTTTTGATGAAAATGTTCACTATAAACTGAGACTCCACATAATAACCTTATAATTTAAAATGAGCAGGTGGCCGGGTCCAGTGGCTCATGCCTGTAATCCCAGCACTTTGGGAGGCCGAGGTGGGAGGACTGCTTGAGCCTAGGAGGCTAGCCTGGGCAACACAGCAAGACCTTATTTCTATTAAAAAAAAAACAAAAAACACAAAATTAGCTGGGCATGGTGGTGCTTGCCTATAGTCCCAGCTACTTGTGAGCCTGATGCAGAAAGATTGCCTGAGCCCAGGGGGTTGGGACTCTGGTGAGGTGTGATCATGCCACTGTACTCCAGCCTGGGTGACAGAGTGAGCAAGAAGTTCTTGTGAAACCAACTTACAGACTAGTATTCCTTTTGATTTTTAAAAAATGTGATATTTGCCCCCATCAAATATCACATTTTAAAAAAAATTACTTTTTTTTTAAGCTTAAGAAGAGCAGTAACCTCATAAATGTTCAATTTCCTCTGGGAGCCTCCTGACACAAGATTTATCCAGCTAGCTGCCAAGTAGTAACGAAAAAGCAATTTTGGGTCATATGGTCTCATAAGAGTGCCATGGATTCCAAACCAGAAAGGTGATGCTCAGCAATGTTTCTCACGGACGCTGGGATCTTACAGAGTTGCGGTCCTCGATGACTCGCTGGGGCCTGGATGCTGAGGACGGACTTGTCCCCTTGAGCCTCTTAAACTGCGTGAACAAGATGTTCATGGTGGCAAGAAGTACTTCTGAGAGGTTGTGCCTGATCTACACAGAGAGAAACACATGGCATAAGGAAAAAGAACCAAACCCTCAGGGCCAGCAACAGGTAGAGGGAGAGTGGGCCACCCCAAGCAGGCCTGGTCACACCACAGCTGCCAGGTGGACAGTTACAGAGTCACCAAAGAGGAGCTGATGGCATTGAAATGTCAAGTGTGAGTGCAACCCCAGGCAATGCTGCTCAGAAGGCCAGGAGTCACTCTTCTTGCTCCTTTCTTTAGCTGTTCCTCCTAGGCAGGGCGGTGAGCCAAAAGCATGCTGACATCTGGCTAACATTCAGGCCTAGACTGGTCAGCAGAGTGATTACCATTAGGAACCCAAACTTGAATGTCAGCAGGCAGGGATGCACAGACTAGTTCTCCACAGTCCCTGCTGTCCTCAGATGTTCTAGGCTGGCTCCATTGGACCTGCATGGCCCTACCAGAGTCCCTGGGAATGTCTATGAGGGCAGGCCCTGGTGTACTGTTTTCACCTATGATGCAATGAAGGATGCATCAGGGAAAGGCTAGAAATAACACAGGAACAAGAGGCTAAGGGCAGAAGCCACAGCAGGAGTAAAAAGAAGGATGGCAAGGGGCAAGACCTCCTGGACTGTGGGTCCCACAGCAGCCAGTGTCCCAGCTCATGTACAGAAGAGGTAAGGTAGCCTTACTTCTTCTTTAAAACGGAAACATGATTTTATAAAAGGTGTGTGTTTAATGAAGAAGAATTGTGAACTGAAACGCCACTAGTGACACCCCAGAACCAGGCAGTGTCTAGAGTTGAGTTGAGTGTTTGTGGTTCTAGAGAAGTCTTACCTGGGCAGCATGCAGAGATGACTGGAGAGGTCCAGGTCATGGCCCAGGTGAGGAAACATGGAGTGTCTAGGGTATGGCCTGGGCAAAAAGGCTTGTTAAAGCTCTCCTAGTGATTCCAGTATGTAGCCCAGATGAGCAACTTGGGCTAGATGGTGGTAATGTGATAGAAACCCTGCAGAAAGACAGTGGCTCTTGGGTGGTAACAGTTCCAGGAGGGGAGGAATGGCAGTGAATCATGATGTGTCCATGCACCAGATGGAACTACTTAAAGAAGATCAGCGTTAAGCACTACAATACCCTCTAGGACAAGTGGATAATAAAAGACTTAAGCCAGACCTCACAGCATCAAACTGAAACCTGTTTCTCCCAACAACATGTCTATCACTGAAGTGACTGTATTTTCTGAATTAGGAGTTCAAACAATAATCCGGTGGAGATGTGTGCACTCACAGAAACGTCAGTCCAGGATATCCAAAAGGGACCTACCTTGGAAAACTTCGTCTGGATGGTTATCATAACTAGATCTCTTAAAGTTGTTAGTTACATTAACACAAAAAGCTTTCAGTGGAAGTGAAGGGAAAATAATTCCAAAACTCAGGAAGAAAAGGACTCACTTCATCACTGAAATTCCTGAAGGCGGCCACTCTCTCTTCCACACTTTCCTGATTCAGGGGCACCAGCTTCAAGCGGTCAATTATCTGTTTAAAAGAAACCACCACCAGCCCATATGACACAACCGTCACAGTCATTTCATCTCTCTAAACATAATGTCAGCATGTAACACGCTCAAAAAGGGCTCCTTAATAGAAAATGCTATTCCTCTCACACACACCAAGGCTTTCATTCTAACTTGCTAACTAACTTATTGTCCTCTTTTTCTGACACAATTTTAGAAATACAGGGAATTAAAAATTACTTTGAGAAATATCTCTGTTTTCAGATTAAAGGGGAAAGAGACAGAAAAAAGGAGAAAAAAAAAAAGCAACACAGAAAACCTTTTTAAAGTCCCAGGATTATACTTGTCCTTGTTCATTTAATAGGCATATTGGTGATATTTCTCTTGTTTTAAATGAATTCCACCAAGTGTTTTGAATTTTCAAGGGCATACATTAACCTGGACTTCAAACACCCCTCCTGAAACTTACATCAAAGGCTCTATCAATATGACCGTTGTGATACTCGTCAAAAAAGGTGATCAAATCCAACAGAAGATAGAATGTGGAGTCCACAAATTTATTTGCACTTATTCCCTGAGCCCTATACCTGAAAGACAAAAAAAGGGATGGGGGAAGCAAGGGTGCATCATGAGTTTCTGTGTACTCCATAACTGTGGGATAGCATTTAAAAAACATAGCTTGGTGCAATGGCTCATGCCTGCAATCCCAGAATTTTGGAAAGATTATGCAGGAGGACTGTTTAAGGCCAGGAGTTTGAGACCAGACTGAGCAACAAAGCAAGATCCTATCTTTAAAAAAATAAAAATAAAAAGTTTACGTGTGGTGGTGTGCACCTGTAGTCCCAGCTACTCAGTAGGCTGAGGCAGGAAGATCACATAAGCCTCAGATTTCAAGGCTGCAGTTGAGCTATGATCATGCCACTGCACTCCAGCCTGGGTAAAAAAAAATGAGACTCTGTTTCTAAAACAAAAATACAAACAAACAAACTAGCATGAAAACCTCTTGAACTCTCTGGGTGAGGTTAATTAAGGAGTGTAAAATACTGCTTATTTTAAAACAGTCAAGCATTGATGGTGGATTTGGTATGAATCCACCTATTAATACTTTGCATGAAGCATAGGTCTCTAGCCTTGACAATCATCTCAGCATCCAAATCCCCAGTAAGGGTGGGAGGTCCTGACAGGTAAAAAGCCCAGCAGTTATCACTGGGGATAGTTTGCTAAGTGGAGATATCTCATTTATCAAGTAACGTTCTTTTGTGTTAACCCAGGAAAGCATCCCAAACCCAGTTTTCTCTGGGTAATTTTATTAGGAATATCTGTAGAGGGTGCAAAAAAGTAACATCTTTTGCCTCAGCCTGGGACCGAAACTGGTTCAAGTCTGATAACTTAGTTAACAAACTGGGAGGAAAAGGTGGATTCTGAAATATTGGCTATGATACCTCTAAGAATCCCCCATCTATCCATCACTAGCTTTGTTCCTTAATTCCTTTGAGATGTTAATCAAAGTATACAGTTGGCAGATGAACACATTGCCTAGAATTAAGCCTAATGTGCACATAATTAAAACATGGAGGTACTCTCTCATACCCACTTCTTTGGCAAAAATGTTAAAAACTGACAGTGCCAAGGTGCTAGTTTCAACATGGGGACACAGAAACTCTCATGTAGTACTGGTGGCACAGTGAGTTAGTAAGTCACTTTTGAAAGCTGTTTGCTATTACCTAGTAAAGCTGAACATGCATTTGGGTGTGCACAGGTGGTCTGGCACTGGCACTCTCAGGGTCCCACAGAGCCAGCTCCTGGTCTTACCGTTCAGCAATAGAAAGCGCCATGTTCTTCAGCCTCTCCTTGTTGGACTGCGGGGCACTGATCTGGGGGACGACAGGGCTCAGCAGTTTGTTCATCAGCTCCAGAACTTTGTCAGCATTCTGCTTGAGTTTTTAAAATTAAGGACTCGTCAATAAAATAGTCAATAAGAGAAAAAACTAAATAACCAAAAAAACCCCACCAAAACTGAGAACTTTCTGGGGTAATGGATGAAAATGTTATGTATCTTAGACTGGTGGTGGTGACACAGACATACATACATTGGAAAATTCAAGTTGTACATATAATATTTGTACTTTTTCTACATCTTAATTATACCTCAAAATATTTTTAAAATTTTAAAAAAACATGACATATGGGCCTCTTTTGCCTACTTTCCTCAGTTGACAAAAGGAGAGAATATAATCTTTTGTAGGCCACATAATCACTAACAGTCATCAGATGTTCTTATGTAGAAGTATTTACTCTAATTCTCTCAAAACACCCAGATGTGGTTTTTTTTTTTTTTTGAGTTGGAGTCTCACTCTGTCGCCCAGACTGGAGTGCAGTGGCCGCTTCCGGCCACCGCAGCCTCGACCTGCTGGGGCTCCAGCGATCCTTCCACCTCAGCCTTCCAAGTAGCTGGAATTACAGGCATGCGCTACCACGCCCGGCTGATTTTTTGATTTATTGTAGAGATGAGGTCTCGCTGCCCAGGCGGGTCTCGAACCCGCGGGCTTAGGCAATCCACTCACCTCAGCCTCCCAAAGGCGCGGGATTACAGGCTGAGCCACCGAGCCCGGCTCAGATGTGGTTTTATTCTTCAACTCACACTACTCGCCAGCATGTCTGTGGCTGGCCAGAGGATCACATGATGGCACTTTCACCAGCAGCTTCACCATTAAAATGGGATGGATGCTTATTCTGCGCCAAATGAGATTAGAGCTCAATGCCTGCAGAATATGCTTTCAATATGTTACTCTTATTTGGCCAGAAATATCTTGTGGATAGAAATAATTCTGTAAAATGGGAATGTTCCCTTTTCTGGACCATGAACTGTCTAAACACTAGGAGAAAACACCTCTACAGGGAAAGTGCTACAACAACAACACTGTCAGAATGGTTGTGCACTTAATGCCAAAAGGCCGACAGATCTGTTAAGTGCAAAAGAAGAGGACATACTTTACCTTGGAAAGGTCATAAAGTTTGGCTGCTTCTTCAAAGAGTCCTTTATTTTCTGCCACAGAAGCAACTTTGTCGATAATAGGCTTTGTGTCACTAGTAAACTTATCTATGACTCCAGGCTGACAAGACAAATTATGGAGGGGGGAGGAGAGAGATGGGTGTATAGAGCTATTATTTTAAACACAGAGAAGCAATTGGGACCCAAATAATACTTTAACTGAAAATGCTTGCCTTGGGCAATGCATGAATTCCATCAGCTAGACTCTGGCGTTCTTGGAGATATAAGGCCCTATTAAAACTATGAAAGAGGCCTAGCAAACTACACATGAACAGGCAGACTTAACTGCAAGCATAGAAGAGTCAGCAATAAGACATCTCTAATTTCTAATTTTCCAAAATGACCCAGAGAGTCAGTGAAATCAATAATTTTAAGTTTGCTGATGAATAGGAACCAGGAAGAAAAATCAGAGGCTTAGGGAAAATATGAAAGATTTTGGATTTGCTTTCCAAGACAGATGGCAAAAGAAACTCAGTGCTGAACAAATACATGGCCAGTGGTATCAGGACATTTCTTAAAAAATCACCATCACCACTCAACAGTAACCAAAAGGTCAGAGTCCGAGAGAGGCCTTAGGAACCTTGCTAGAGCGAAGGCAACTTCTCGACATCTCTGATTGGCCATTCTGCTTTTCCACTGGTGCTGGACTCTTAGGGATGGACCAAGTTGGAGTGACCTGTCCCTGCCACCTGAGGCAGCAGGGGAGATCAGGGAAGAGCATGGGCTCTGAGTCAGAAGGACTGGGTTCAAACTTCAGCTTCTTCTTGCTAGCTGTGTGAAGAAAACAATCTCTCTTGTCTTCATTTCCTCATTTGGAAAACAGGTAATAATGGTTCCCACCTTGTTGAGTTAAATAAGAAACTACATGCAAAATAGTAAGCACAATGCTTGGCAATCGTTATTGCCCAATAAAAATGGTTACTGCCCAATAAAAATTGCCCAATAAAAATAGTCATCAGCTCTGCCACTGGCTTCTCTTCTGAGCTGGATGGGACAAATGACGTGAGCTCATCCCCAGATTGTTGGGCCCAAACCATCTATTTTTACAAATGAGAAAATCTAATCCTTGAGGGACAAGAGACTTTCCCAAAGTCACAGGGAGAGTATGGATCAGGAGTGGGTCTCTGAGACCAGGGCCTCTACCCCTTTTACTATGATGACCAGTGGGTGTCTTAGAATCCCCAAGCTCCCAGGAGTAGCTGCCATTTCCCGGGTGCTATGTAGTTCTGAGCCTTGAAAACTGGCTTTTGAGGAAGGTGAAGTGTACTTCTAACTTTTCCACCTGGGGAGAATAGGTGAAGTAATCAATTTCTTTTTCTTGCATATTTTCTCAGCTGATAATGGCAGAAATATAGACTTCTTAGCTCAAATAATGGCAGGCATGAACAGATGAATCAACTTAGTATAATTTTCAAAAAAAGCAATCTAATCAAATTAACATATTTTAAGGAGATATAAATATGTGTAAAGCCAAGGTCATCATTTGGGCCGTAATTTTCACCCTTTTAAACTAAGCAACTTTGTTCAGATTTGCATCTTTAGTACGTTGAATCCTAAGATCTAACTATTCGTTTGACATTTATAAATAAATCCCCAGCTCTAATAAATATTTCTCTAGGGATGTTTAACCCACCTTTCTACTTCCGTCATTCTCTAGTTTACCAAGAATCATATCAAACTGTGGAGGGAAAAAAAAAGTGTATTCAATTTATTGGACAAGGATATAAACATAATCCACAACTCTTCAGAGACAAAAGAGGGGAAGAAAATGGGGCAGATGGAAAAAGTCATACACAAACTAGAGACCAGTGAGAATGAAATAAATATTTTCACTGTTAGAAAGCCAACAAAATCCCCAAAACTCCCTAGACCAATCTATCACAAATGTATAGAGGTAAGCATGCAGTATCCAATGAGCAAGAGAGCATGGATACTGAAAACTGTGAGCAGGAGAGAAAAGGAAATTCACATACCTCTCGGCTTTCTATCACAAGCTCACTCACACAGCGCAAAAACATGTTTTCTCCTTGACTATCTTTCTCGTCCCTGTAAGGGAACAAAAGCAACTTGGTTTCTGGTCTGAACATGAGGCTTCTTTCTTTCTTTCTTTTTTGAGTTGGAGTCTCACTCTGTCACCCAGGCTGGATTGCAGTGGCACGCTCACGGCCAACCAGCGTTGACCTGCTGGGCTCCGGCGGTCCTTCCGCCTCAGCCTTCCAAGTAGCTGGAACTACAGGCATGCACCACCACACCCAGCTAATTTTTTATTTATTGTCTCACCAAGTTGCCTGGGCTGGTCTTGAACCCACGGGCTCAGGCAATCCACTCGCCTCGGCCTCCCAAAGTGCTGGGATTACAGCCTGAACATGAGGTTTCTAATGGTCATTCCCAGGATGGTAGGAATCAAAACTAGTTGAAGGAAACAGTCAAAAGCAAATGTTACCTGAGGAAGTAGAAGTACTGGAGCGCCTCCCTTGGATCTGTAGACTCAAACTTCCGGGTGTAGAGCATAAGTAGTCGCACAAAGTTCAGCCGCCGCATGCAGGGAGGATCTCCAGGCTCATGGCTGACTGCACCATGGGGGGCAGAATGGGTCACAACCACACTGCCCCTCTGACTCATGCGAATCAGAAACTATGGAAGCTGAATCCATAGACCCAGCAGCGTCTACTCCTGAGACCCAGCCAATATTTGCCAATATAAGCTTTGGCCAATCCTCTTCACCACCCTGTTCTCAATACTTCTCTATGTATGGAGTGGAAAAAACAGCATTTTGTAATAAATTGCTAGTATGCTGGTCTTGGAATGAAAAGATAATCCAACTGACTATTACAGCATATGCTCTGAGGTGATTATGCTGTACCAATAAGGAACTCACAGCCAATCATCCACATTTACTTCTCTCTCCCGTAACTCTCTCAACCCAAGCAGGTAAGCACATAAGATGCCCAGCTTGGGTTTCCAATGCCAGAGCTCTAATGGGTGTCAGGCTCATGACTCTAAGGACTCCTTCTTCTGTACCATTCTCCTGGCAATCAGAGTGAATGGCCACAAAGCTAGCACTTTGTACAGAACTTTACACATTTAACATCCCACAAATACCAATGGGGCAGAGGGCAAGAACCCTAACACTAATCATCCAAAAAGCTCAACTGTCCACAATGTTCTAAAGTGATTGGTACTGTTTGCCCAAATACTTATTGGTTATAGTTTTGTGGCCACTGTTGCCCAGTGGGAGATGTGTTGTGGTTACACCACTGCCAACCCAGTCACAAATACTCACGGAGCTGAGCACTCTGTCCAGATGACTTTAAAAGTAGTTTCAGCTCAAACAGCACCAGTGCAACATGGACAGCATGACAGCGCAGCCGCTCCATGCGGAAGAGAAAGGCAATTGCAGCTTCAAACTGTGCTGTCAGGAATAGGACTTGAAAGTAGAGGAAAGGCTGTTGGTTCACTGTAAAGTGGGACTCACCTGGGGGAGAGGAGACAAAGCCAACTCAGAAGGAAGCTGCCTACTGGCAGTCGGCCCTTGGGCAGCAGCCCTGTTATGCCTCCAGGACTTGCTGAGCAGGAAGAAACCACCAGCAAAGCCTAGATTAGGATTAGTCTCGTGGGCCCTAGATACAGTAAACTGCCATGTGAAACAGGACATGTTCTCTCTGCCTTCCCTAGATTTCACATGCCTGGCACGTAGGTTTGGGTTGTGTTGTAAAGCCCAAACTATCTACATTACGTGGGAGAGAAATAGTTACAGACCTTAAAATGAACTGCAGAGGGGATGCTCATTTTTACCCTGATAATAAGGAGATAATAATACCCTGATAATAAGGAAAGAAATAAAAATTTCAAGGACGCTTCAGTTCACTCATATTCACAGGAATATGAATTCAACAACTATGAAGCACTATTTGGTAGTATCTATTCTTTCTCCCAAGATTTTTTAAACAATGAAGGGAAAAAAAGAAGGAAAAGTGTTTCTCTCTCCTTTGTGCTCAGATCTAGTCACTGGCAAGATCTACTAAGAGGCAACAGCTCAGTCCTCTTTATGTCTCTCCCTGAGCAAATATCTACCAGAGCAGTTCAAAGAATTAGAGAAAACAGATGACTGCATATGACCATATGTCTCATATATTTCTTAAGGCCACAGGGTCACTACTTGGATTTGAAATGGTTGTTTTGTTGTGTTTTGCTTTGAAGAGCCACAGGAGTTTTGAAGGAGAGACAGAGTTCAGAAATGAAGGGTTTTCCCAGAGGAAAACTTAAAAAGTCACCTTCACCTTATATGGACAAGAGGAACAAAGATGGTTGTGTACAAGATCTTACCATAGTCTTCCAACAACTGCTTCTGGAACTGTGAGAGAGTAAGCCTGTCTTGTGGGGAGCTGGTGCTGTCATCATCAAAACACACTTGGTTCAACTAAATCCCCAAGAGAAACACATGCATTTATTAGTACAAACTACATCCTGAGCCAAGTGCATGAAGTCGTAGCTGTCAACTGGAGGCTGCTTTACAGGCTGTGATTATTAGCTAGGAATTACACAACCAAAAATGGGGCCAGAAGACAAGAAATCTACTGACCCAGATCACCTTACTGGCATCATACATTAAGCAGGTAAACTCTGTGTGGGAAATGTGAGCAGAGAGTATGGGGAAAGCCCTGCTCAGACAAGGAAAACGGTGCCTGCCTTCAGCCACAGGTAGTCCTCGGTTTTGTCTGCTACTTCACTCTGGTTATCAGTGATGTCACATTTACCAATGATACAATACACAGCCCGCTTGTAGGGGTCCGTATTGTTCCTGAGGGCCCTGCGGTAATGCAGCCGGAGTTTGTTTTCTGTGTCTGGGGACAATCTAAAGACATAAGGGAAAATACAGATAGACACACTCAGTTAAGATCCTCAAGGGCATCTGAAAGAACTGAGGTCCCAACCACATAACAGAGTAGGAAGCCTTACTCCACCCAGGGTAACAGACATGGTCTCTGCCCCTATTCCCTCAGTACCATCGCTTTAACCTGACTTGCAGCTACGAGCACCTGCATCTACTAGCTGCGGCTTTCTCTAGTTGCTGAGACCTTCAGGGGCAGGTCAGAAATATCAGGGAATTAGTTCTCCATTCCACTCACCAGCAGCACTCAAGCAGCGACCAACAGGAGCAAGGCCTTCCCTTAACTGTCTTCGCCCCCCTCTGGCCTCCAATCCCTTGTTCATGTGGGATCACCTCCCAAATAAAGTACACGCACTAAGATCTTCTGGGAGAACCCTAAGACAGTAATCCTATTTTAAACTGTAATCTGAGTAAGATTTGAGTTTATGATTTGAGATAATCTCTTGACATGGCATTATTAATGCTCCCAAGACTTTGAGCATTCAGTGAATTAATCCAATGATTATATTTCAAAATTACTAACTTCTAATTCTAGCCCTTAAGCTATGAGGTCCATGACAACATATTTCCATATTGGGCTTACCAGAAAAGCACTAAGTGTTAACAAGTAAAGTGTAACACAAAAAAGTCACATTTTATAAAGCAGTCTTGATGTGCCTTGGATTTATAGAATAAGTCAAGTCATGCTTCTGGGTCAGTCCCTCTCTTAATGGAACAGAAAAATTCTCCAACAAAAATGTATGCATGTCTAGACATCAGTGCCAGAATGGGCCTCCCTTTTCAAGTTTTCCATTGTTATCCCCAAGAGAGTTCTACTAGTTTTCTAAACCTCCTTTTTAATTCTGGGCATGTGCAGGAAAAGAGAATAATGTCAGTGGAGGCCACCCTCTACAGTTCCTGTGGCTGCTTTTGGAAGTGTCTCTCATTCATCATACCGTCTGTCCTTGCTGTTCATGTACTCCTGGAACCAGGTTTTAAACTCTCCCAGCTGGTGCTGGGCTCGATTAACCACTTGAGAAGCAGCAAGCAAGTCTCCACAGCGCATGCAGTAATAAATTAATGCCCACACAGGATGGCCTTCCACTTCTCCATCCTAAGAGGAGAGAGAAATGTTCCAAGTAAACAAGCAAAAGCTAACTGCATTCTTATGTGGTAACACTCAGATAAGACCTCCTGGTACTAAGCCACTTCATTTTCAGAACAACTCCATGAGGTGGGAAGCATTAACCCCCCTCCCAACCCATTTTACAAATGGGGAAACTCAGGCACAGGGAAGTTAAGGGATTTGTCCAGGGTGGCTCTAAGGCTTTTCCTCTGAAGCACTAGGAATCCTGCCTGATCCAAAGCCAGCCCTGTGGTTTCTCCATGGAATCCCAATGACCTGCAGTAATTGGGTGACATGTTCTTCTACAACCTCCACAAAGCAAAGGCCAAAGATTTCACTGATCAATAAAAGGCAACTGTTACCACCCTCGAGTTTATAAAATGTTATCAACATTTTACTAAGTATCCTGGTGTTAGATATTGCTAGGCACTGGGGATCTGAGGGGCAGCTCTACTCCCACTCTCTCAATACTACAGCTTAGTTATCCTAAATCTGTTTTTTTCCCACTTGTCTGTACAGTGGCCTATGCTTTCCCCTCTCTTTCTGCTTTTCCTTACCTCCTCCAGAGAAGTGGACCTCAGGTCTCCTCTTTTGGCCCTCCACCCTTCCCCAGAAGGACTCTAACCAAAATTCAGGTCTGAACGTGTCACTTGCTCACTTAAACCCCTTTGCACTTAAGTCCAAAGTGCTTAGCCTGGCACTCAAGGCCTTCACCAGTGGGCCCGAGCTTGCCAAGCCCTACCACATACCTAGTACTCCAGCTATTCTCTCTTGCCTCCATGCATTTGTTCTTGCTGTTGCCTCCTTCTGGAATACCCTTTTTCAAAATCTCAGGCCAGTCAATCCCTATTCTGTAAGAGCAAGTGTGAACTGAACCTCCTTGATGAAACTGATCTCCTCTGTATCCCACCACCCTTTGTACAAAGCTCCAGTTTAGTGTTTTGCACACTTATACCAACTCCATTCTTCCAGCTGTTTTAGTCAGAAATCATCCCTGACTCTGCCTCTAACACCTGAATCCAAGTTCTTCAACAAGTTCTGTTGGTTTGACTTTCAAAACACGTCTAGAACCCAATGACATCCTCCCATGGCACTGTCCTCTGTCCTGGGCTGAGTAACCACCACCTGAATTCCTGTACTACTGGCCTCCTAAGAGGTCTCTCAGCTTCTATCTTCACCCCTCTCTGGTCTCATGGCCATACAGAAATTTCCACACAGAGTCTAATTTTAACTTAAAACATCTACCTGAGAGCAACTGCTCTGGGGTTCAACTGATTGCACAGAGAAAGTTGTCAGTACCTGTAGTCCAGGCAAGGGAGCTGGAAGTTTAATGTTCAAGAAACTTCGAACCAACTGGTAAGTCCCAGGCACCCCGCCCAGCTGAGCCTGATGCAAATTTCCAAAGACAGTCACAAGGGTGTAGTTCTTATAACTGTAAAAAACAGGGGAGACTGAAACACATACTATACACATCTATGTCCATAGCAATGATATCAGACTATGAAATTGGAAGGGCAGAGCTAAGACTTCAAACCCAACACAGAAGAGGAAGTAGGACATGTTAATGAAACAAACTACATTATTTATTCAGTGGGCAGGCGATTATTGTAAAGATTTATCACTGCAGATACTCAAAAGAATCCCTGGAGAAACACAACTGTGAACTTCAAATATGCCAAAGGCTGATGTGCAGAATAATAATTGCTCCAGCTCACAGCCTAATGCTCTAGTGGAGTTTTTGAAAACTTTTTATTTTGAAAACTTCCAAACCTACAAAAAAATTCAATGAACAATTCAGTGAATGCCCATGACCTACATTCACCAATGTTTAACATTTGTGTACACCTTAAAATACACACACATGCTCCCTCCCTGTCCCCAAACCATTTGAAAATATGTTCTAGAAAGGAGGGGCTACCTCATTTGTAAATACTTACCATGTGGCACCGAAGAAGTGGACATTCTCCTACATTATGACACCAAGACATTTAACAATGTATTATTATCATCCAAAATAGAATCCATATTCATTTCTTAATAACATCCTTTATAGTTTGTTTTTATTTTAAATCCAGGGTCTAATCAAGGAAATATGTAACAATTAGTGGCCAAGCCACTTTCATTTCCTTTAATCTAGGATAATTCCACCACCTTTTTTGTTTTTCATGACACTGACCTTTTTTTTTTTAAAAAAAGAGATGGAGCCTTGCTATGTTGCTCAGGTTGGAGTGCACATAGCAATTCACAGGCACACTCATAGTGCTCTATAGCCTCAAATTCCCAGGCTATCACAATCTCCCCACTTAAGTCTTCCAAGTAGCTGGGACCAGATGTGTGAGTCATCATGTCCAAGAAGCACTGACCTTTTCTAAAGAGTTCAGGCTAGCTGTCTGTAGACTGCCCCACAAGCTGAATAATTTCTTTATGACTTGGTTCAGGTTCAACTTTTTGGCCAATAGGCCTACAGAGCTAAATCCTGGTTCTTCCCACTGAATCCCACAACGAAGCAGGTAGTATTAGTTTGCTTCATTATTGGTAACATTAGATTTGATTTACTTGGTTGAAAGTTGTTGTCCACCAAACTTCTCCATTATGATCTATTATTATTCCCTTTGTAAGTAGTAAGTAATCTGTTGGGTCATGTAAATATTCTGAACAAGTAATAAGTAATATCTGGAGGTCATGTAACTATTCTGTTCACCAACAATCTTTTACTCAGTGGCATGTTTCCATTTACGGTCCTTGCTGAACCAGTTATTACACTAGTGTTTGCAAAATGACGATTTTGTATCCTTCCCTCTTTGTTTATTTGCTAGTGTGCTTCTTACAATCCTCTGTAGTGATTTTAAGTGCTTCCATATCACGATTAAATAGTCTAAGTTATAGCTACCTAAATACATGGTTAATATAATAAAAAACTTTCTAAATATATTTTTGTCCAAAACAAAACAGACTGCCTTAAAAAGTCAGCTGTTCCATATGAACAAAGATGCTCAATGCCAGGTTAAGTACAATAACAAAGGGAAGGAGTGAGTGAGAGAAACAACCTAAATGTTAACTACAGGAAATAGGTGCAATGAAATTTTATGCAATTATGAAAAAAAATTCATACATCAAAAGAAGGGAAAAAAAGAAATACAACAAGTTAATAGGAGTTTCTAGATATAAGGTTCAGGGGATCCTCCCGTTTATCCAGGTCTTCTTTTTGGCACCTTCCAAAATTTCTATAATAAGCATATATTGCTTTTATAATAAAAAATAAGCAAAATTTAATTTAACAAATGTGATGAGCTCCCTATCATTAAAGTATCCATAAGCAGAGAAGGGATAAAAGGTTAAAGAGTTCTGTAGCAGCCAGGGCAAACAGATGTCCATACAGTCTCTTCCAACTAGAATCAAGATGACTCCTTTGCTTGCACTGGCCTAAATTGAAGAAGAAGCCTACATTCCTTGAGGACTAAGAAATATATGCCCTGTCTCAAATCTTGGAATGTGGCAGGGAAGAGAATCCTATATTTTGTCAACATTTCAGCCTTACATTGAAAGACTGTTTGGGACTGGGTCTACTTTGCCATCTGGTGCATTATATCACTTGAACTATTATATGCATACTGTCAGTAGATTAGCATCAGCAAAAATACTTTAAAAATGAGGAAAATTATTCCAAAATATCCCCTTTATCAAAGGCGACAATGAATCCTTAAAAAGAATACCATCAGGGAGTGATACCACTAGAGTGAAAAAAGAAAGTAAGATTATAATAATTACAGACAGGACATTCCCAGATAGCTCCAACAAGCACTGTTAAAGGAATTAATGGAACAAGATAGTTTCTAAAAACTAAATTAAAAAAATAATGAAAGAAATGGAATGGCTTACCAGAGATATAAAACCAAGAAATTTAGCCTGTTACTACGTGAAGTTAAACACCAATGTTAAGGATTAGGTTGACTGAGAAAAAAGTCACGAGCAGTCATATACTTATACCCATTAAAAAAAATTCCTGAAGGTTTTTCTATAGTGTAAGAATGCTGACTAATTTTGCTGACTGATAACAAATAAATATTATGACATACATTAGTTTCTTTAGGACTTAAGATTGACACACCCCAAATTACAAAAATTTAGCCAAAACAAGATGAATTATTTGATAAACCCTTTACACTTATGCCAGGGAAATAAAAAAAACATTTGGAGTTCCAGATTTCTCTTAACAATACATATTACCTCCAGATACCCCAGAGGCTAGTGAGTGTAATATGTCTGATGGTGTTCATTTCATGTAGCTATTATAAAATTAATATAGTATTTGGTATAAAAACCTATTCTTTGCTATACCAGTCTGAATTACCTCAGTTACATACAAGGAAATCTTTTGACTTCCTAATGAAGTATTATTTTCTTGACAAAGGGTGACCACATCACAAGGCTGCTGGCAGCGGCAGAGGCTCAAGGGCAAAGGCCTGCAATTTAGCAAGCATAATCAACTTGGCTTTTTCTTCTCGAGCCAGCAGGGAGAGGCCCAGCATCCTATCTCAAATAAAGAAAGTCTGTTGCACACTCATGACAACCCCTGCCAGCCCATTAAGAACTGGAAGGAGTGTCCACAGGAAGGGATGAATGGTACAGGTCTTATCAATGAAGGGGACAACAGTTAGGGCACAAGGGCACAGCCACAAACCTTTCAGTTGCCAACACTTATTAGTGAGGAGGTGGCAAAGAAACCTAGGCACAAATCACAGGCACTAGCAGATATGAATGACCTGACTTGTGGGGATTATCAAATAGAATCAGAAGGAAAATAAGGTTAAAGGAGTCTTTACGTCTGAAAGTGGTAATATTGCTGGGAGTAAAAATTAAAATGCTGAGAGAAAACAAAAGTACGTAAGGAGTAATGGCTGAACTACACGAGGAAAACGGATATGACCTAAGGCATTATGGCATCACTATGTCACTGCATTAAAGGACAGGTAGAGAAGGAGAACAAGAGAATTCTAACAGTGCTGCCACTTACCATACAAGATTTTTTTCATGTGTGATTTCTATACTATTACAGAAATAGTTCTGGTAGAGAAGTGAAAGAGGATTTCTGAAACAGGATTACCACCCTCAGCCTTGTTCAATTTAACATAATAAATCTCAAATTACACCAGCTACAGCACACTTAGCCTAAGACTACTCAAGACTCGAGGAACAGCTGACTTTGGGGGATCTGAAAGCCGGCCCCACTGTGCTACTGTTGCCTTACCTCTGCTCCAGGTACCCCAAGGCCTGCCTGACAAACTCCATGCGCACTTCCACACTGCTGCGGCTCTTCAGGGCATCGGTCCCCGGCACCAACAATACTTCCGTCATTTGTTTTACCATGGCCCACATGTCAGAAATGCTCTGCGCATAAACGAGAGTGTACATGACAATGCTGCAGGGCTGGAGAAGTTACTGGTTCTTCGTGGCACTCTGATCTCGAAGGCGGTTAGGATGATGGGGTGGGGAGGTTAATGTCGCCTGGCCTTGAGAGTTACATCCATTGATGAGTACCCCCTGTCCCTGCACTGCACTGCACTGATTTTCATATCAATTACTATTCTAGGTCTGACATTACCACCTATATAATTAAAACCACACAAAAGTAGCAAGAATATTGAATTTCACTGGGTTATCCCTAAAGAGAGAGTACATTTATAATCATCCAAAGCTCCAGAAGTTTAAACTCAAGTAGCTGCATTTCAGTCCTTACAAGGTTATTTGAATTTCTTAAGGCTTAAAATAAGAGTTTATCCTAATATACAGGTTTTGTCCTCCCAGAGAGTCTGCAGGGGCCATTGCTCTTACCCATTCGGAGAGCATCACAGCCTCCCATTTTCCTTTTCACTCTCTCCCTCCAAGACTCCTCCAAGGAAAGGAGGGGATGTTCTTTCCTTTGTGTTACCACCACATAGCTGGGACTTTCTCTCCCCAGAATCCTCCTGCTTATAAACTTATCTTAAAAATGTGTTCTCTGAACCCTAAACTTAAGAATCCTTGGAGGATAGCACCAACAGGAAAAAAGCAAGTTTACACTTTTTCCAAAGCAAAAGAGAAAAGTCTGTTCTCATGGTATCTCTTAAAAATACTGCAGAATAGCCAACCACTCTCTCCAGGTGGTGGGCTGATTGGTGAAATATTACTTTCTTCTTTAAATGCATTTATATTGCCTTATATTTTACTATAAAAAAAACATTAGACGCATTTTTAAAAAGACACAATCTGTACATTGATGAGTGTTTACTTCCATAATATTCTTTCTTCTTTTCTTCCTTCCTCCCAGTCATCTACCAACACACTCACTCACCCATCCACTTTTTTAATGTTTTGCCCCTTAGGAGAGAAAACTGGTCAGGGTAAGGGTTGAGGGAGAATAAAGACAGTAAGCGTGTGTCAGAGAGGAAGGGAACCAGTGGTCTATGTCCCCGCATGAGTCAAGTTCAAGGGCTCACAGGTGTGAAAACTGCATCACCTTTACAATTCAGCTTTCATTAAAGAGCCCATTGGCTTGTCTAAGGAGGGAAACTGGTGAGCTGCCAGGCGTCAAAGTCTGACAGGACTTTAAAACAAATAGAGCTTGAGGAGAACTCTTGTGATTATCAGCTGATCCTGGTTGGGCCTTTTGAAGATGAACTAAAAAAGAACATCATCAAGAAAACCACTCAAGATTATTTAAAGTAAAACTCTGAGGAACAGTTAACATTTCATTCCACAGAATGGAATGTCCCTGCAGCACATTTCCCCAAGTCAGCAGGCTGCTCGTCCCATCTGAACACTGGGATCAGGTTCCTCCTCGCATCAGCTCCAGGCACTACCTTATCATCCAGCTCTGCTACAGAAGCACAGAGGTCCACAAGGTTAGGCTGCAGGTGCCCATTCACAATCTTCTCATTATAGATATAAATCTGAAATGATGAAAGCAGAGCAAGTGATATAATGTCTATTTTCACTTCTTTTTAAAACTTCCTGAAGTAGGAAATGGTCGGTGAGAGCTTCGGCCAACTATTCCTTACTCACAGTGGCACAGCCATCCCCCCAAGCCAGCACAGTGGGAATACTCATTTCTCCTGGAAAGCATCTCTGCTCTTTAGGTAAAAGTTTCTCAAGAAAAATAAACTATGTGATATTTAAGGGATGGGAAAGTCACTATTACCTTGAATTTTATTTTAAAAGAACTAAAATAACGATGGTTAAAAACTACTTTTACGAAAGTATTTTTATGGAAGATTTCGCTTTGTATTTGAAGTCCTTGCTACACCTAGAGACTGAACAAGGTAGTGATGTGAGACAGATTATGACCCTGCCCAACCTTAGTTTCCTCTACTTTAAGTGGGGGCATCAGTATTACTTAGCTTCCAGGACTGTTACCAAGATTAAATAAAGAGGCTTTAAGCTGAGATAGTGTTTATTCACTCGACGAAGTTTTATTAGGGGACTTCCCTCTGCAAGGTACTGTGTTCAACGTGGGATACAAAGATTCACTCTCCACTGGAGAGGGTAGCCATGTAAACAGATACATAACATTAGGGTGTCCTAAGGGCTATAAAAATGTTAGTTTTATGAAGTTTTAGTCCTTATAGATACAAAAGATACATAGTTTCTTTTCTCAGAAGCATATGATTTCATTAAGCCTCTCTCTGTGGCTTTGAAGAGAGTCAGCCATATAATGAAGGTGAAATTTAAAGGATGTACAGGATGTACAGGAAGAAGAAAAAGAGAGAAGTTCAACAAGTGGAACAGAAGGAAATAAATGAAGGCCAGTGAGAAAACACGAGGGCACTGAAGTAGGCAACTGACTCCAGTTGCCTGGAATTTAAAGTGGCAACGATACACTAAAGGAGAGAGATTTTTTAATAAGCAATTGGAAAATTTCTCTCAACAATGGGTGAAAGGGGGACTTTTGATAATACTTCAGCTAACCAGTCAACACAGAACTCCACTGGCTAATTAACTGGCAGCTGAAGACAGAACCCTCTGTTAAGGAGCACACAGGGTCTAACAGTTTCTCACCCCCCTTGCTCACCTCCATAGCTGCTATCTGGTATTACTTCCCACCATCCCACTCTAGGCTGGAAGGGGTAGGAGGTGGGTAATGTTGAGGGCCACAAGTGCACCCATGTGTTCCCCCTCAAAGAATCATGGGAGGCAGTAATGGCTGAGCAGATATTACTGAGCCACAGTTCGTAGAGGAGGATATTAAGGGTGTGGAGACTCATTACTCCCAACTCAAGAGATAGGAATGTTTTCCCTTCTTAATACTTTGTGGGGAAAAATGGAAAATTACAATAAAGCACACAGTCAGCTGGCACTGCTTTATTCAAAGTCAATTCCAGGTATGCATGGTCTTTAGGATAGTTTCAGTCCAAAAGAAAGGGTTTCTGATCTTTCATGATTTACAACCAGAAACATGACCTCCAAAATATCACTGTGCTTACTAATGCAGAAAATCATTTAGCAAATTTCTCTCACCAGGTTGGGCATAGTGGCTCATGCCTGTAATTCCAACACTTTGGGAGGTCGAGGCAGGAGGACTACTTGAGCCTAGGAGTTCAAGGCCAGCCTAGGCAACATATCAAGACCTCATCTCAACAAAAATAAAAAAAAAAGTAGCTGGACATGGTGGTATGCATTTATAGCCCCAGCTAATCAGGAGGCTGAGATGAAAGGATCGCCTGATCATGCCACTATACTTCAGTCTCAGCAGCAGAGTGAGACTCCGACTCAAAACAACAAAAATAAAAATAGAAAATAAAATTTCTCTCAATAGGGAGTGAAAGAAACATTTCTGATATCATCAGCCTACCGGGTAATTCAGTTAAAATAAAACTTCATTTGCTAAGCTGCACAATTGTTCAAAGATTTACTGTACATGGGGCCATTGCCAATAATACAAAGTGAGACGCCTTGGCCAGTGGAGAGAACAGATTTCAATTTCTCCAAATCAAATCTGAATCATTATATTACCCTATTTGACAGAATCTCCAGCAACCTATATGGTAAAATATTAATCAGTCTTCTACAAAAAAATAATCCCAACCTGCTTTCAGGGTTTGACTATCACATGAAGTCTTTGTTCCCTGGATTAAATCTTTCTTGAGACCATACTCACCTGCCGGGCATAGGCCATCTCGACACTATCCAGAGAGCTTCGACCAGGGGGTCCCACATCACTGATGTAACTTGGCTGCAGAGAAATACACATTCAGAATTGGTTAAGAACAGTAGTTATGTGAAAAAATAAAAATCGCATAAACATGCCCTTATCTTTAACAGAGCTGTGGGGAGTCTATTTCCTAGTTAAAGTGATTTCATAACATGAATACATGAGAAGAGAGCAGGCATAGGACAGGATTAACTAAAATATAATGTGGTACTGGATACGCCCTATCGATATTTCAATGAAAAACACACACTTCCCAACATACGGTTTCAGTCCCAAGTCCCCTCCCCATATCTTCATACTAGTAAAACCTTTGCTTTTATTGGTCGGCCTCCTGTTTCCATCAATCAAATCAGGCAGTTTAGAAAACAAAGTATATAGGGTCACAATATCAGACTCAGACATTTCCACACTAGAGTCCACACTAAGACAACAGCTGCTGATTATATTTCTGTCATCTGAAGATGTGAAGCCAGTCTAAGTTGCGCATTCATTAATTAAATATCTGCTAGTGCCTTCCATGAAAAAATAAGCTCTGTCTACAGAACTTGTCCCCAAAGAGCTTATCATCTGATGGGGAGTATTAGAAACAAATATAGTCATGTATCACTTAATGATGGGAATAGGTTCTGACAAATGTATCATTAGGTGATTTTGTCATTGTTCTGACATCACGGAATGTCCTTGCACACACCTAGATGGTATAGCCTACTACACACCTAGGCTGTATGATGTAGCCTATTGCTTCTAGGAAATAAACCTGTATAACATGCTACTGTACTGGATGCTGTAGGCAGCTGTAACACAATGGTAAACATGACTACACAAAAAAAATACAGTAAAAATATGATATTATATATGCAGTGCATGACTGTATATGAAAAAGATTTATTAGTCTTTTTTGGAAAGATTAAAGTTCTTTAACTAAGCTTATTTCTTACTATAAACAAATAAGAATCACAATTACGTATATTCTTAAGTTTCTAATATATTAATTTGTACTGTAACATTGCAGAGATCAAGTTATTCAGCTTTCTTGTTTTTTAAAAAAACAATGTTCTATTCTCTAGAATTGAAAAGAAAGCAGTTTAAAATAGGCTTCCTGGGAAACTAATGGAAGACAGCAGCCAAACCTCCTCACACTATGAAGTTAGTAAAGGAACACTAGAGTGAGCGTGTACTGGAAGTAGAGGAGAGGGGAAGGCCAGCTGACATCAGTTCTGGAGAATGAACACTGAAAGTCAAGGACACCTTGGTTCCAGGAGGCCCATTCAATCCCTGGCTTCGGGGTCTGGAACAAAGTACCTTCTCTTGGAGCCTCAGGCTCCCATCACTCAAATGAAGGGGCTATCCTAGACAATCTCGAAAAGTCCCCCTCAGCTCTGCTCTCAGCTACCACTGGTATTAAAAGAGCTTAAACAGTTCCCTGATCTTGACAGACACTGTTGGCTGGCTGACCCAATGACCATCCCCAATCCCTACTTCTTACACCTTTACTCCTGCTACCCTTCAGGCTGGCATATAGAGCTAAATATACCAGAGTGCACTGGCAGATGTTTAACAACCAGCTCTTGGGAAAGGGGCCTGATGTGTAACATTTGCTAGTTTCTATAGCATAAATATTCTCACCCGGGCAGATTTCAAGTTACCCAAGGTGGTATCAACTAGATTGCAAATTCCTTGAAACTTTAACAATAGGCTCTCATGAGCTGGCCCCTACACACCACTGTATACACCCTTTTCCAGTCTCTACTGCAGTCAGGAATAGTCCACCCTAGTTCCAGCCAAAGGGACAAAAACACAAGTCTGCTAGCGCATCTGGCGACACCTGCTTTTCCTGATAAAGGGGAATGGGGGAGAAAAGCCTGGCATGACCTTTTAACTTCTCCCTCTTCTTTCTGTCTTAAACGCAAATGTGATGTCTAGAGCTACTGCAGCCATTGTGTGAAACTCCAGTAAGTGAACATGCTTCAGATGGCTGTGTTCAAAGATAGGTAAGTGTCAGATCTCTGATGGTACTAAAGGACAACTGAGTTAAGGTCAGTCGCTCCACACCTACAGACTTCTTGGTAGGTGAGAAAAATAAACCCCTATCCAAGTTACCGAAGCTCAAGTTTTCCACTACTCAGAACTGAAAGCATTCCTACCAGAAACACAAAATAAAAGCTATCAGGTGGCAATAATAGTGACAGCTATACTTAATGAACACTTAGTATGAACAAAGCACTGTCTGAATTTCCACATGCTAACTCCACAACCCTATGAAGTAGATACTTTTATTATATCATTGCACAGATGAGGACACAAGGGCACACAGAAAGACAAATCAACTTGCCCAAGTTCACTCCAATAAGAAGCAGTGACACCACTGCTTGAAGCCACAGTCTGGCACTACACTCTGTACTCTTCACCCTACTCCATCCCGCCTGCCAGGGCAGCCCAGGGAAACTTTTCAAGACAGTTATCACAGAAGAGTAGAAAGCTGTGGTTAGTAATCCTGGTCCCACTGCCTCCTGCAATGTGAGCTTGAGCATTTTGCTTTTTTTAAGCCTCAGTTTCTTTAGCTCTAAAATGGGTAATAATGGTATCTACCCCATAGGTTTGAGATGAAGATTAAATGAGGGAAAAAACAGCACTTACCTCACACCACTGTTGTGAGAAATGAAAAATAATTTGGGACAACGCCCAGTGCATGACCAATAGCACTAGCTATTATCACTTTATAAACAAAAAATAAACCACCATCACAAAAATAGGAATGAATTCAACACTGAACAACAATGGATAGCTATGGACAATGAAAAAATATGACCTAAAATATTTTACTTTGTGCAGGCTGAAAAGTCTCATCTCATTTTCCTACAATGAACACACATTCCTTGTTTGAAGGGAGCCCCCCACCAGGACACTGTCTACTTCTGAACTAATTCTGAGTGTGGGTTGAGAGGACTGTTCTCTAAGACAGCCACCTTTCTGGAACACAGCTATCTAGAAGTTGAATATTCCACAGTCTTTTTAAAGAACAGAACACTAAGCCTGTCAATCCCAGTAACCTAATTGGGAGGAATAAACCAGGGAATGAAAAGGGGCACAGCACTAAAGCACTTCTGCAAGGGCAGAGTCATTTCAGCTAAATATACATCAACAGCCTCGAGAAATATTTTCCGATACTAAAAACCCAATTTTTAAAATTGTTCGTTTAAAAAGTAGTTGGTTTTCAGCCTTCACATTTCCATTTAAATTAATTTTGCCCAATGCTCTTGTTTTCAAAAGTACCTGTCCTTCAGTTGCCCTTGGCCAAGCTGCTATTTCACCACACAGAAAGTCAATTAGCCATCCACAGGACGTGTGCGCACACATTCCTGAGCAGAGAAACTGGCAAATGTTCTGCTGGAATTCCACAGCCAGGGGCTGCCTGAGGGCTGGGACAGCGGGTGCTATTATGCTGAGTGGTTATAATGCTCCAAATGCCTCCATTCTGTGGGATTCTCTGCACTGGGGCTTGACCAAGCCATAGCAAGGACAACAGGAGAGGATGACAGGCACAGGGAGTCAGAGATAGAAAGGCAGGGAAGACAGGAGGGCAAGGCCAGAGAGGAAAACAAGGGCCTCACCTAAGAACCTAGAGAAATGTGGAGAAATAGTAGCCTACAGACCAAGAAGGGTCTTGTCAGAGAAGATGGTGTTCCCAAAACAGCCATTCCAGGACATGCAAGACAGGGTTTAAAGTGGCAGGAGGGAACTGCAAACTTTTATTAAGCACCCTTTCCTGTGGAAGGCACATTCCAGTTAGGAAAAAAGGAATGTAACTAGCACTCCTGGCAAAATGAGTATATAGTAAAAAGAAAATAAGATGATACAGGAGGAAAGAGAGTTTAATTTCCAAGTGGACTATTTTGGCTTTATGTATGCAAAATGGAACTAGACTGATTCATTTAAAATAGTTGGCTATGAAATCTGTATGTAAAAGCTCAGTACTACCACAAAAAAATGTCAACTGGGATCAGAAGACCCGAGTCCTAAATACAACCCAACTAATGATTATATGACCTTGTTAGGTCAACTAATGACTGTGTGAACATGGGAAATAATGAGAATACCTCGGCCCATCATAGGATGGAACACTACTGTGGCCACTGAAAAAGTGACAGAGACCTACATGTACTAACCTAGAAAAAGCTCCAAAGTATATAAAACAACAGCAATAAAACATTATGCTGATTTATGGAAACTAATACGTAAAATGATGCCATTTATAGTTGATAATATTTTAAGATGCACACAAAAGCACCTGAGAGGAACTGGAAGGGTGTACAGTACTGACAGAGGTTAGATTTGGGTAGAGGATGGGGAAGAGCAGCAGGGTCTTCCCAAGTGAGTCTACATTCCTCTACCATCGGGGAGCATATGAGATCAGAAGGTGTTCATATTGTCACATCATGAGAGTAAAACTTTTTACTGCCATACATCATGACAATAAAATGAAGGGCTTGTTGAGGTGGGTTTGTTTTTTATAATCCTCATTTTGAAAAAGCAGCAGAGCATTTTTGATACTTGAATTCCCACTCACACTCCAACAGGTCCAGGTCCATTCCCAAGGAAACTGCCAAGGAGCCACAAATACAGCTTGGAATCAGCTAGTCTGGGGTTTCCAAATTCAAACTCTGTTAGTCTATATTTTAATGTATTTCATCAAATCTAATATTCCATCTGTTGCAAGACATGATGCTATTTTATGTACCACTAGGAAATTTTCAAACGCTGTCAAACAATGACACACCATTAATTTAAGATATATCCTGATATGAGAGATGTTGGATTGTAAAAAAGATGCGTGACTGGAAATTGATGAAATACGGTATATTAAGTGAGTTATCAAAATTAGACTATGCTTAACATACACTGTTCACATTTCACAGTGTGAAATGTTACCATCATTATCTATTTTTATTATTATTATTATTTTTGAGTTGGAGTCTCATTCCATCACCCAGGCTGGAGTGCAGTGGCACACACACTCACAC